CTCCGTCCCCTACTGTCGGATCCCCACCGACCACGGATGCTGCTGCCTCCCCACCCACGGACGCTGATGCCTCATCACCCTCGTCTGCATCACCTATTTAGGAGCCTCCCCCACCTCGCCGCGGTGATCGAATTCGATATCCCTCTACTCAACTCGCTGGCTTGATGTTCAATTGCATGGCGCTGCTCAATTTACGACCACAACATATCCTTTAGATGATTACCCTAGTTATCATCGTCTCTCGGCTGCCCATCATGCCTTTGTCGCGGCAGTCACGACTATTGATGATGTTACACCCCGACGTTAGGATTCTGGTTCGACCATAATACATGAACGATTGGATCAACGGTTACGTACGGAGGGTTACAATCGTGGTTTAATTAATAATAATAATAATAATATAAACTATATTATTCATATATGGTTCAGGCTAGCGTACGCCCGGGCGTACGTTAGACTACCGTACGCCCGTTTGAGTTTTGCTATTTAGATCATGAATTAACTGGAGTTTTGTGCATGATACTATACCCTAACCACTAATGGATAAACTCCAGTCCCTAGTTTTCTAACCCAAATCATGAGATTCGTTTAATCTTGAAATGAAAATCAACAATAGTTTCGACGAAGCAAAACCGTTGATTTTCATTTCAATATTAAATGAATATTATGCTTTGGGTTAGTGAATTGCGGACTGGGGTTCACCCATTAGGGGTTAGGGTATAATATCATGCCCCAAACTCCGGTTAATTTATTGTCTAAATAGCAAAACTCAACGGGCGTACGGTAGGCTAGGGTACGTCCGGGCGTATGCTAGCCTTTGCCATATATATATATATATATATATATATATATATATATATATATATATATATATATATATATATATATATATATATGGTGCCTTCTATGGTACCCCGAGTGAAATCCGGGGTACCGCATACCTTGAGTATGAAAACGCTATCTAGACCTCGAATTAGCATGATTTTTGGGCATGATATTATACCCTAACCCTTAATGAGTGAACCCTAGGTCCTAATTATCTAAATCATAAACTATAAACCCTAAGATGGAGCATTACTTTTTTTGCCTATATTTGGACGAATCATAACCGTCGATTATTATTTCTAATTAAATTGATCTTGGGGTATAAGATTTAGTGAATTAAGACCTAGATTTTGATCTTTATGAATTAGAGTATAGTATAATGTCCGAAAGATCAGTCAATTCAAGTTCTAGATAGGATTTTCTTACTTAAGGTATGCGGTACCCCGGATTTCACCCGGGGTACCGTAGAACTCCCCATATATATATATATATGGGTGGCTACTTCGGTGCACTCACTTTTTTGGGTGTACTCAGTGCACCCATTTCTAAAAGTGTCCATAATACATCAAATTTTGAACTTTAATTAGTACTCTCAATCTAATATGATGATATGACATATAATCATAACAAATCAATCAATTACCCTAACCCCTTAACCTTCAATTTGGAATCCCAATGTAAAATCCCAAACTGTAAAACCTAAACCCTAACCCTATACCTCTAAATCCTAAATCCTTCAAATTAAAGTAAATCATAAATGATTTTTTTTCAAATTCATGTGCTTCTTATTCATAATATCATAAACAACAATTGATACCGTTTTGACATGGATCGCATGCTCAGAATGATGATTATGAGGCGGGTGCACTGAGTGCACCCAAAAAAGTGGGTGCGTCGAATACGCCACCATATATATATATAACTCGGCCAAGAGGGTTGTGAACCCTTTTTCCCATCACAGCAAAAGAAACCCCCCTAGCCCGATTCTTCCTTCCCTAGCATCCCCATCGCCGCCACCAATCCAAGCACACTACCTCCTGCCCTAAAACTCATCACCGCCCCAACAATTTGCCCACCATTATTCCAGCCCTGCACACCAATATCGCCCCAGCAATGGGGGCAAGCTATCGCAGAGGGGTGGAAATATAAGCAGAGGACCGGGGTGAAGAGCCACCACGCTAAGTTTAAGATGTTTGGGGGATGAATCGTTACGACTCCCCTAACTAAGTTTAAGTTTAAGGAAAGCTTGGATGGCTTCTCATACGTATGAGTTGGCAATCGGACTAGCTAGTGAGGCATCCCCGTGTCAGTCAAGTATTTAAGTCAAGATTTGAGCTTTAAGAGTGGAGAGTAACAGTAACTCCCATATAGTTTTAAGAGTTAGGAATTTTAAGAGTGGAAGTACAAACAACTTCCACAAATTTAAGTAAGTGTTTTAAGTAAAGTACTAAGCAGTAAGAATTTTAAACGTAAGGGCGTAGACTGAACTCAACTCACTCACCAGTTTGAAGAGGAAGGAGCTAGATGAGCAGTTAGAGAGCAGCTAGTTTTAGAGGAAAAGTTCGAGGGCAACCAGCTAGAGGAGGGGAGTGCAAGCGTCACGGAGGATGCCTAGTTAAGATTTTCAGTAGCAGCAACGACATGGACTACCTAGTTATTTACATTTTATGATTATGAGTAATACTGTAAATCAGATTGAGATTTTAAAGTTTGAGTTTAATTTGCCCACGTGTTAGGGCTTTGCTTTGAACTACAAGTGTGGGTTTTCAGTATTTTATTTATGAAATTTTTTCCCGCTACAATTTAAGATTTGAGTATTTTATTTGTCAAGGGCATTTTAATAAAAGTAGTACCCGGCCGGGTTAGGGTGTTACAGATGAACCATGGTATTTTTTCCAGGCAGTCCGTTACAAGCAATGTCGCGATGCCATGCAGGTCGAAATCACCGCTCTCGAGGCCAATGACACCTGGACTTTGGTTTATCTTCCTCCAGGTAAGAAGGCGATTGACGGTAAGTGGGTTTACAAGATTAAGTTCAACCCGGATGGCTCCGTTGAGCGCTACAAGGCGCGTTTTGTCGCTGAAGGGTTCACCCAAATAGAAGGGGTGGATTATCACGATACTTATGCACCGGTTGCCAAGTTGGTCACTGTTCACCAGCTTGATGTTAATAACGCCTTTCTTTATGGCGATCTGCAGGAAGAGGTCTATATGAAGATCCCGCATGGTTTTTCCCGTCCTGGTGACACTAGAGTATGCCAATTGAACAAGTCTCTTCATGGATTGCGGCAAGCCTCTAGGAATTGGTATCGAAAGTTTACGCAAGCGTTACTTGAATTTCAGTTTGTGCAGAGTCGGGCTGATCACGCTCTGTTTACTTACCTGCGTGGAGATACCTTTGTCAACCTTCTCTGTTATGAATATTGTGAATTTGAAATTGAAATGAGAATTTGAAATGAGAATTTGAAATTGAAATTGTTATGAATATTGTGAATTTGACAATAATGTAATGAGAATTTGAAATTGTTATGAATATTGTGAATTTTTTTTAGATTGCTGTAGATTTTTTAAATACCAGGAAGAAGGAATTATCAATATGCCAAAAATTCGGGGTAGTCATGGGAAACATTGCAGGAGGACAATTTAGGATTTCACCAATAGTGTTTCGAGATGGGTTGTGAATTGGTGGGAAATGCAAGGATTGGAAAAGCATATCTTGTATGGATCTTTGGTAATGGTCGTGACAAATGGTTGAGGGTGATAACTTATGTTTCGGCCGACAATGCTTCGAAAAGGGTTGCGAATTGGTTGGTGAATCAGCAGACAATAGATGAAAACTCAGTAAATGATAGTTGTCATGGACAAACCAGTGAATAATAGCTAAAAACCTAATGGATAATAACTGCGATGAAAATCCTGAAAGACAATAAATGTAGATCCAACGGATAATAGTTGAACACAGAGGTTCTAGATGGGGGAGCGGAGTAAAATAATGTCTTCCAAAATTTTAAAGTTTAAGAAAAGCATGTGTGGGTGAAGGAAGCAAATCACATAAAAGGTTGTCCCACTTGCATTTGGAGAAGTTTGTGAGGTGCATATTTTGGGGCAAATTACCAAAATACACATGTTTTTAAAAAAATTCACAGAATACTCACGTTTTATGAAAAATTTCCAATCTACATCTGTTTGGGCATCACTGCAGCTGTCAACATCAGTGAATGCATTCACTGCGGCAGATGAAAGCGGTGAATGCATCACCGTGGTGAAGGTCTGACCCAGAGCTGAAACTTCAAACGAACGTAATTTTGCACTCGGTTAGCCGATTGTAGCGAATTGTTTTTCGATTGCACATAATTTTTCAAGATCTCAATCTTCAACTCGCCTTCATCCCAAAAAAATGTCGTTTGCTACCCCCAACAAGCAATTTTTCGATTTCGATAAATTTTGAAAGACCATAACTTTGTGCTCCGCAATCTGAATGTCATGAAATTTTTTCTAACTATGCATAAATTTTTAAGGATTGCAACTTTTACCAGGAAATAATTTTCAAAACAAGAAATATTTTTTTGTACGGGATTTTGGGTATAACTCTACCTTTACTTTTCACAAATCCACAAACATTCCAAAATTGTGGTTATGATAAAAATTGTAGTCCTCAAAAGGTTATGCGTAATCAAAAAAACGTTTCGCGATATTAGGATTGCAGAGCACAAAGTTATGGTCTTTCAAAGTTTGTCGAAATCGAAAAATTGCCCGTTCAAGGTAGCAAACGACATTTTTTGGGATCAAGGTGAGTTGCAGATTGAAAGATCTTGAAAAGTTATGTGGAATCAACAAAAAATTGCCACAATCGAATAACCGAGCCCAAAGTTACGTTCGTTTGAAGTTTTAGGTGTGGGTCAGGCCTTCACCGTGGCTGACAAACGCGGTTATGCATTCACCGTTATCGCCCGCTGCAGTGAATGCATCAAGTGTTGACTGAGAATTTTTCATAAAATGTGTGTATTTTGAGAATTTAATTTTAAAAACATGTGTATTTTGAGATTTTCCCCTCATATTTTGAGCACGAATGTTAAATTATAATTTAGTTTGTGAATTTTAAAAAATTTCAATTTAGTCCCAACTCCCAGCTCTTTATAAGTGTTATTAGAACATAACCCGCATCTGAAACTCAACGCAATTTTCTAAAGTGAAATCATTAATGGAACTTAAGCCTAATAGAAAAAATCTCACTTTTGCCATTGAATCTTCCCAAAATACAATAATAAATAACATTCATCAGTACAATATCTCTTAGTCTCTCCGAATCCTCATATGTCATATCTCCGTCCTGAAATTTCATCCTGTCTCTTCTATCCCTCGTCATTAATCGGGTAGTTACAGGTTATTCAAGATTGGCTCTCGTTAAGAAAATAGAATCAAACCGAAGTTACAAAAATCAACGAAATCAAACAAAAGAGAAAGATCAGCTTGTGGTCGGGAATGTGCTCGTATGAACCGGGCACATAAATTGATTTCTCAGCACTTGGGCAGATCAGCAGGTGGCGGGAGAACCTTCTGGTTGGGAAGCTTTCCATCCAAAACCACCCAAGCCATCTTCAATCCCCAGCTCGTATGAACTTCCAGATGACAGTGCATGAACCACACCCCTGTTTTTTTTTAACATCATACATAGAAATTATTAGCTCGATCACCTCGAGTCAACCTTAATCAATCAATAATGTAAAACCCAAAATGCTAACCTGGGTTGTCAGCCAGGAACCGGATAGCGACCCACCCACCCGAAGGAACCCCAACAGTATTCCTCTCAACCGGATCAACCAGATTGAACTTGGCCGGGTCTTTGGCTTTATCAAAGTTGCCAAATCCTTGCCCCACAACAAAGAAATTGAACCCGTGCAAGTGAAGCGGGTGACTCTCTGCCCCCAGAATGCTGGTGTCCTGCATTATCAGCTCCACGCTAGTATTGAACGGCAACACCGTCAACTTCGTACCGTTGCTCACCATCGTGTTGTTCGGCGGGGTTCCGGTGTAGTTGAACGGAATCAGAGGACTGATCGGGAAGTAAGGAGAATAGACACCGTTCGATTGTCCCGTGTAATGCGACTGAAGCAGAGCATTTGTCGGCATGACAAACGAGACGTTGTTGATCGATGCTGCAAACTTGGTCGTGTTAGTGGGCCCTTGGCAGGTTTGGTTCTTCGGGCATGGGTTGGTTCCTAGGCCCACGGTGAAAAAGAATTGTTTGTCAACCTTCTGTGGAACATTGGCAGGAAATTGCTTGCTTCCCAAGCTACGCAGCTTGTTGGAGAATTTTGTCGCATATGCGGTATCGTTTAGTGCGGGTAGGGTTGGTTTGAAAACCGGGAGGGTTTTGACGTGTGATGTATGTTCGTATTCGAGGATTCCGGCAACGCTTGAGTTGTCGAAAGTACCCTGTCCGGTCACGTATGGCCTGGCGGCCATGAAAAATGTGGCGTTGGGGTGAACCGATTTCGTTTTGAGCAGGACGTTGTAGGTTTGACCGGGGGCAATGAGTAGGACATCGGTGGAGAAAGGCTTGACGTAGACTGCATCGGCATCAACAACGGTGAGGCTGTGGTTTGCGATGCTGAAGAAGAGCTCGTCATTGAGAGCAGCGTTGATTAGTCGCAACATATAGGTTTTGTCCGGTTTCACATTCAGTTTGAACGTATCTGTAAGTGGAATTGATCGAACCAGCAATAGCGGTTGAAGTTAGATTGATAATTTGGAGAATGGAGATCTATTAAACCGAGTTAATGAAGCAAACTGAATTAAGTACCTTTGGCGGAGCAGTTGTATAATGGGCCTGGAAGTCCATTAATGGTGTACGCATCAGAGACATTTGGGCCTCCACCTGTTATCGTGGCCTGATTGATGATTGCTTCAGTATCAGCATTAAACCACTCTCCTGCAAACAGTGAATTCAGTGATTAATCAAACAATAACATAATCAAGGGAAGTAGGGGTTTGCTACCATTGCAAATGTCTAGTAGTAGAGTCAAACGAATTACCAAACAGGATGGGAACTTCTTTGTAAGGCTTCTGGAATGGGTAAGGGACACCAAGCTTGGGGAGGATGATGATGGGACCATAAACAGTTGACCTGAGCCATGAGATGTGTGCATGCCACCATAGGGTTCCTCTCTGGCCAACAATGGTGTAGTTGTATACATAACTCTGACCGGTCTGAATCGGGCATTGGGTTATGTATGCAGGTCCATCCGCCCACCCGCTCCTTAGCTGCCGGATCCCATGCCTGAAGCATATATGTCACAAGATTAATTCAATTCACAGATAGTTTAAGCACATTTTTTTGCCTTAAACAGACATACATGGTTAGACTTAATTACCAATGGATGGACATGTTGTTCTGGACATGGTTGACGACTTTGATTAGGAGACGATCACCTTCTCTTGCCACAATCTTGGGACCTGGGAACTGCCCATTTACTGTCACCATGCTCTTGGTGTGGCAGAGCCGGGTCACATTTTGCAGGTTGATCTGCATTATTGACAAACAAATGCAGTATTTGTCGAAGAGTAAGATTAACTTAATCAAACAGGAAAGTTTATGCAGCAGTGATGAGGTTGGTTGCATTACATCGAACGTGTAGTGCCTGGTTGCAGCATGCCCTGGCTCAGCCATAGCAAGCAAACAGACCGCGACGAGAGAAATTCCCAGCTGAATCATTCCTGCTGCTGAAGCTCCCATTACCCTTTTGTTTTCCTGCTCACTGTGAATGATGATATGGGAGAACTATGTGATTGAGAGAGTGGGCTGAAGAACTTTGTGTTGTGCTGTATTGTGTTGGTGTGAGAGTTTGATGAATATGGAGGGAGGTGGGATGTGTCTATATATAGGGAGGGAAGAACAATGTTGAGGGAGCTTCAACAAGGTTTCATGGCTTCTGTAATTAGGTGTCGAATTTTCTTGGCAGATAGATACTCTTAATTTTGATTAATACAGACAGCAGCAGCAGCTCAAGGTGTTAGGAGGAACAACAACTCTGGAGTGAAGTCAAAGCCAATTTGTTTTGACCGCCTCCTTCCTTTTCAAGTCAAATTGCCCTCCATCACTATCATTCTCCAGCTTGCCATATGAACTCCTTTTCTAACTATATAAATGATGTAAACTTCAAGCAACATTGAGCCTTCAATGGATGAGGCGACTTAGTTAACACTTCCTTACGAATAAACTTTGGTGTATTCGTCCAAGATTAGAGTAAAATTACTTGGCAACTTCTCTTATTTGACTGTAAAGAATATAGAGACAGGAATGATCTACATGCTCTGTTCAAAAAAAAAAAAAAAAAACCTGAAAAAGGATCAAAGTCGATATCATAGTGTTAGATATGTGAGAAAGATGGAGGGTTTGAGTTAACCACATAGTGTTAGTAAATACGTATGTATACATACAGATATACGTATTTTCTCCATTGAAAACTTTTGTATCATTATTTCTTTTTGGTAAATAGATGCAACGCATCTCAGCTTTCATTCACAACGAAACGAGGTATAGAAATACCTTGACAGTCAAACAAAAGCAGGTTACAAATGGAGGGATCCGAAACATCAATCTATGAAAGCCTAAAGGCAAAGAATGACCCTTATTACCAAGGGCGTCAACACACTGGTTTCCTTCACGATAAACGTGGCAAATAACTACTTTCCATTCCCGGGCAAGCAAATCCTGGAACCTATCAATCAAAGCAGCATGATGGTGATCAGGTCGCTCCTTATTCTACAGGAGCTGGACCGCACACTTGGAGTCAAGCTCCACTCGAACCCGACGATGACCTTCGTTCCAGGCCAACTGAACACCTTCCACGGCGCCTCTCAATTCTGCTCGGGTAACAGAACATATACCCAAGTTCAAAGTGAAAGATGCAGAGCAGCATCCTGCATGATCTCTAATAAGGCCACCAGCTGCAGCATGACCTGACTCATGAAGGACGAAGCAGTCTGAATTGAGAGTAAACCACTCTGGAGGGGGCGGCTTCCATGCCAGGACGCGCTACAGGAAGGCTTTAGTTGTTACGACTTTATTCTGAAAGACTCTGTCGTTTCTGGTCCGCCAAAGGGACCAGCATATGATGCCAAAATCCAGGCATGTGTGCTCGCAGTTGATGTTTTGAAATAACCATTCATATAACTCACTGTCAAAGAAGTTTCGATGATCAGAAAGCTGAGTGAATTGCAACCAAGTTAATCTGGAAAAAGGACATTCTCGCAACACATGCAGGACTGTTTCTGTTTTGTCCCTGCAGAGAGTGCAATGATGGGACTCTGACAGATGCCTCCTGGTTCGTCAGCAGCCGTTGTCGTATCGCTAACCAAAGGAAATGGTTTACTCTAGACGGTCCCCACCAGCGCCATAAGGACAGCCAATCGATGTCCGAACTGCTGTCTGCCGCTCCTTTTGCAATGTCATACGCTAAACGGACTCGAAAACGCCCATCCACCTCCGGGCCCCACGTCATCACATCTTCTCCCGAACCTTCTATGGGGGACTGAATACCCTCAACCTGCAATACAAATTCTTCAGGGAGAAAAGAACGAAGTTTCGGGATATTCCACTCACCGTTGCTAGTGCTGAAATCAGCCACCGCGGCCGCTTGGTCAATATGAGGGCAGTCGGGCTTGGCCAGGTCCAGAAGAGTCTCCCCATAGTCCACCCATTTGTTTGTCCAGAAAGAAGTGCTCCGACCATCCTTAATGCTCATCGTCATCCCTGCCACCATAGTTGGCCAAGCCTTCTTAATGCCTCTCCAAGCATTTGAGCATCGCGTCGCCAATTTTGCCACAAAGACCCCATCAACTTTTCTAAAATACTTGGCCTGCAGTACCCGGACCCAAAGCTTCTCCGGCTTCTTCATGAACTGCCATGCCAGCTTAGCTATGAATGCTATATTGAGCTCATGTGCACTCCCGAGCCCCAATTCACCCTCCAACTTAGGCCAACACACAGCTTCCCAATGGACGAGATGCACCTTCCTTGTGCCCGCCGACGACCCTCAAATGAACTGTCTAATCTTCTGGTCGATCAGATCGCAGATAGATTGTGGGAGCAAGGACGTTTGCATTGCATAAGTCGGTAAAGAGTTCAACACTGAGGAAGCTAAGGTAACTCTACCTGCAAAACTAAGAGATTCTGTTTTCCAACCCGACAATTTGTTATCAAGTATATCCAGGATATAACGGTAAGTTACCTTGGTGACTCGTCCATGCATAACAGGTGCGCCATGGTACCGACCCAGATCCTAAGCAATCCATGCACTGATCGGCCGGGGCACATTCTTCGAAAAGAAGATGGTCGGCTTCTCTCGGCTAACTTGCTGACCCGAGGCGAGGCAAAACCGATCCAAGCAGTCCGCCACCATCCTCCCTTGCTCCTCGCTTGCCTCTGCAAACAAAACCAGACCATCTGCGAAGAACAAATGGGATAAAAGAGGGTCACCTGGGGAAGTCTTGATTGGTTTCCAATGCTTAGTCTGCACCGCCTCCTCAATGGTCTGACTCAATCTCTCCATACACAACGTGAACAAATAGGAGGAGAGTGGGCAGCCCTGGCGAAGTCCGCGCGAAGGGGTATATTCCTCTGTCAGGCAACTATTCCAGATAACCTGCATAAAGGATGAGGAAACACACTGCATAATCACTTCAACGATAGAGCGAGGTAGCCCTACCGCCTCTAAAGTCTCGCTCAGAAAGTTCCAGCTCAGACGATCGTAGGCCTTAGCTAAATCAATTTTGAGCACCATCTGTCTTCTTTTTCCAGTTTTTATGCACATCGAATGTACCACTTCTTGCATAATAACTATGTTATCAGTGATATGACGACCCGATACAAAACTGGTCTGGTTTGGATGGACCAGACCTCGCATCAGCGGCTTAAACTCCTTCTTCGGGATGAGACACAGAAGTGTATCATTGATCACTTGAATGGCACTCGGGTTTGCCATGCAATCTGAGAGAAAAAGAACCAAAGAATTACCAACAGTTTCCCAGCATTTTTTATAAAAAAAAAAGAGGGGGAATCCATCCGTCCCGAGTGCCTTGAACCCGCCCATACTCCTTACTGCGTCCCAAACCTCCAACTGTGTGATGGGTAAGCCAACCATCTCCGCCTCCCGTCTCGAGATCCTCTCAAACCTAGGTGGCAGAAACGGCGCCGCACCTGACTCAGCTGAGAAGAGAGAAATAAAATAATCCTGAGCCAGAGCCATTAGCTCCACATCCTCAAATATTCAGTCACCATTACCATTTTGAAGCCCCAGAACCTTGTTAAAACGACGTCTCTTCAAGGTGGAGAGGTGGTAGAACCTAGTGTTTTTATCCCCTTTCACGATCCAGGTTGCACGTGATTTCTGAAGCCAAAGAAGATTCTCCTGCCAAAGAGTTTCTTCTAAGGCAGCCCGCGTTTCCTGCTCCTCCACCAAGGAGGCTGGGGATGGGTGCAGTTCATTCCTTATCTCGAGCTTAGTTAAAATTTCCCACAACTTCCTTTTCCGGCGGATGATGTTCCCAAATACTTCCATATTCCACTTCTGTAGTACCTCTGAGCAACGTTGAAGGATAACAGGCAAGGTGGCTGGAGCATTCCATGTGGAAGACAACACCCCCGGAAAAGCTACATGTCCCAGCCAAGCAGATAGGAAACGAAATGGGCGGTCAACACCTGTTCTCTTTTCTCTGGAACCCCTCACTAGAATCGGTCTGTAAAATCGATGGGTACTTAAGTAGCCAGGCACGATTACAGAGAGCCCGATCCAACCTCTGGTACAAGCTTCCACGTTTCCAGGTAAATCTAGGGCTTGTAAAATCGACATCCAGCAATCCACAGTCTGCTACACATTGCCTGAAAGGTCTGGCTCTGGCCTCTTGAAAATCTACTCCACCCATCTGATCTTGTGAGCTGAGAATGGAGTTGAAATCTCCGGCCAACAGCCAGGGAGTGGTAGTTGCAACTGAGATATTTCGAATCTCCTCACATAAGTCCGCACGATGTGGTGCATTAGGACTATCATACACCGCTGAGATCAGAACCTCTGAGTATGGGGCCCCCTTGCACGCACACCGGAACAAAATCATCTGCTCCCATTCTGAAACCAGAGTGACAATCACATTATGTTTTTACCAAAGAACCCAGATGCCGGCCGCGTGACCTACAACATCCACAATCAAACAACCATCAAAACCTGTGCGATTAATCACAGATCTCGCAGTAACCCCACTAATATGGGGCTAAAAAATACACACAATGTCGGGTTTATGAGACCCACAAAATTCCAACAAGTAAGGAATAAAACGATCGTTCCCTGCCCCTTGGCAGTTCCAAGTTAAGATGTCTAACATAGTGACGATAACGAAAGACTAAACTTCCCTAGAACTTCTGGTTGGCTGTAGCCAACCATTAAAGGGACGAAACATGGGAAGCGTGCTGCTCCCCCGAAAGATCTTTATCACTCGAAGATTTAGGCTTCTCAACTTGAGGACCTTCCCGCAAAGGCGGAGCCAAACCACCTTTAAGTTGCCTGCCATCCATTTTAACCCCCTTATCCTGCTTCGCAGGATGAACCTTGTTTTTGGTCAGCAGTGTGGTATTGCTTTTTTTACCCACGGCTGTCGATCCAAGCTCCACCCGAGCCTGATTAGGGGTAGTACAACACCTATCGGGATTTCCACAAGGTTCTCTGTACCTTGAGATCTCTCTGAGGTAACTGATTCCACCATCTGGCCCACTAGATTTGATTCCCCCGCGGTGTCACCTTCTTGTAGTGAGTCCACTCTCAACAATGTATCCTCAGTCTGAAGTACTGTCCCCTCTCTACTC